CAGAAGTTTCAGCCAAGGGAGCCTCACTCACTGGAACTTCACCCACGGGAACATCAACTCCGGTAACTTCAGCTTCGAAAACTTCAATCGTGGGTGAAGGGAAGTCCAGTGGTTGTTGAGCTTTTTCAATAGTCTCCATCACCTTAGCTAACTCTGACTCCAGATTAAAGTTTTCTTGGCTAGCTTCAACTAAGGCATCACGACGGGAGTTCAGAAAAGCCCAGCTTACATCAACTGCAACCTTATCTTCAAGAAGCTCATAATCTCTTTCCCAAGCAGCAATTTCATTTTTGAGACCTTCATTTTCATTCAGGGATGAGTTATAAGAGGCTTGGAGAGAGGCATGAGATTTTTCCAAGGCCTTCACTTTGTCTTCAGAAGTTCGCAGATCTTCTTGGGTCTGAGTCAAATTTTGTATCAAATCTCCAGCATAAACTTCTTTTTGACTTAAAAGAGCTCTCAGCTCTCTAATCTCTTCACTTGTCTTACATAATTGTTCCGAGAGAGAAGACTCGAGACGCTCTCTTTCTTTCTCAGCCTGACTTGAAGAAGCCTTGACAACCGCAAGCTCTGAAGTTAATGCTCTTACCTGCTGTTCCAGGTTATTCTTGTTCTCTTGCAAATCTTCTATAGTAATTTGAGCACTATCAAATTGTTCCTTCCAATTAGCTGCTTCCAACTGAAAGTCACGAGCTTCCCTCTCTGAATCAAGAACAACCTTTTCAGAGTCACGTGCCACCTTCTCTAATAAAGAAACTCTGCTCATCAGCTCTGTACCAATAAGGTTGGCCTGAAAATGATAAGGGAAGAAAAATTAGAATTCTAGAAAAATTATGGCAAATTAAAGAAAGAAGGGACATACCTTCAAGGTGGAATGAACTATGTCGTTCATCAGAGTCAGACAGCTATGGCTATTCAATTTTTCCTTCTCAATTGGGCTTATTAAAGGTTCAAGCCAAACATCCGCCTGACCGGATTTCCTCAAAAGGCTGTTGTTAGCAGGAACTTCGATAGTCATGCTCCTCATAGCAATCCTTCTACTTGTAGAACCCACTTCTGTATTATAGACAGTAGAAGGAGGAGCGGTAGAAGAAGTAAAAACAACAGAGGGAGGTTCGGAAGCAGATGGAACAATTAAAGAAGGAACCAAAGGCATAGCAGAAGAAGGAAGAGAAGGGACTGAAGATATGGGAGTTGAAGAAGAAGATAGGGGAAGTTCATCCAAAACGGGTCCTAATCCACCACTCTCAAAACCACTAACGAAAAGCTGGTTAATCGACTCATGAGTGTCATGAGAGGTGGCAACGTCATCATCAGAGACAAGATTAACACGCCCGGTAGGGGAAAGGTGATGAGAAACTTCAGCTTCGTCAGAGACGATACGTCTCCTAACTCTCGGCCTTGTCACCAAGGAACCATCCTCCTCTTCTTTGTCGGAGTTATCATCGTCTGTGATTTTCCTTTTCAGAAGAATGTCCTGAGCGCTTTCTAAGGAAAGTTGGGTTCCTAAACGAGAGGCCGCAACTGCTTCAGCAGTAGCACCTCGAATAGCAAAACCTGACAAAGAGAAGGTTGAAAGTTAAAGCAATAAAGGGAAAAACTTTTACATATGAGAAAGATAAAAACTCATACCGTGAGTCTTTACTTTCCAACCATGACGATTGGAAATAAATTTCCAAGACCTAGCCTCCATAGACGCGATCTTCAACAATTTATCTACCCAACCACGAAAATTGGGAATATTCTCCACAACTCCCATGGTTGCTAAAAAAAGGGGGGGGGGAACAAAGTTAAAGAAATTGATAAACTCGAAGGAAAGAGATACGAGAGAGATGAAAGACTTACGTGCAAAGTTCCACTTCTCAGGGAAGGGAACGTTTTGTTCACCCACTAAACCAACTGTGGGAGCAGCAACAAATCGGGCATACCAGCCACGATCCTTATCATCTTCTGGGCTCACCAAAACCCTCTTACTCCTAGCCACTAAGGTAAAGACGCCATTACGAAAAAGTCTAGGGGAGTATAGGTGAATTAGGTGAGGAAAGGTGAAATTAACGTCTGCCAAATTGGCTAGATGCCTTAAACAAGCAACAACCCTCCATACCAGCGGGCCAATCTATGCTAAACAAACTTTGAAGAAATGACAGAAATCGATAATAACTGGATCAATAGCTGGTTTAAAACCAAGAGTAAAATGGTATGTGTAAACAAAAGAAAGACCAGTCATATAGGAGGTAATTCTTTGATCTGGATTGGGGATTACAATGGGAAAATTGTTACTCCAGTGACAATCTTTGCGGACTATGGGAGCTAAAATCTCTGTAATCAAAGTGGGGTAAGCATCGGTACGATCTAGACCAGAAACTTGGGTTTGAAGTAATTGTCTATCGTGGTGAAAAGATAAATCGTTAGGGACTATCTCTTCTACCAAGGGCTCCTATAATGGTTCAGAGGCCTCCTTGCTCTTAGAAGATGATTTTTGGGTAAAAGAACCTTTAGTTCTAGAGGAAGAACCAGGGCTAGGAGAAGGCATGGCAGAACCGCCACCACGAGAGGATCCTAAGCTAAGAAGTCTCCCGCCCCTTCTATGTCTAACAGGGGCATTGGGAAAATTGTCTAAAATAGGAACTCTCTTAGGGTTAGGGTTCGAAGAAGACATGATGAGGAGGAAGAAGAAGTAAACAGAGATTTGCACAGTTCAAGTGTTCGAGAGAAAAAGTTTTGTGTGGAAGAAATTAAAAGGTAAAACTGTATTTATAGGTAATCGTCAAAAAGTGAAAACGCAGTAATGGAAGGGTCACAATAATGGTAACTGAAACTTCGTGAATAGTGGAGCAGTAAAAAAAGACCTTAAAAGGGGGTGCAAGTTGCAGAATCAATAAGGAGTTGACACGTGTCAAGAACATTAAATAGATGTGACCATTGAAGCGTCAATCTTGTCACAACATTAATGATGACAAAAATTCTCCTTTTATGAAATCCACTTCCCAAATATTCAACTAACGAATAAATGAAAAGTGGGGGGACTATCTGTATTGGGAAAAATTTACTCTGCATATTGGAGGTGACGTGTCATGACACGTAGACTGGTCAAACAGTAAGAGAATTAAGGTTAGTTAGATACGAGCAACAACAGATACGAGCAATAACAGATACAAACAAGTTAAATGGAGAAGGTACGAGCGGTCATACAAGTAATTCAAACGCTCGTACCTATTCAAGACATTTAAAGGTCAAAGATCGTGAAGAGTCAAAGGAATGAATCTGACAGCAAAAAAGAGCCCAGATACAGCATTTAATGAGTATTAAATACTAGAAACGTTAGAGAATATGTATTTAACATATATGATTGCATAACGTAACATTTAAAGTCATTAAATTGCCCATAATTGTCTTATTATGACAAAGGTAAAGACTGTATTCCCAAAATGTCTATAAAAGGAAAAGTCACAAACGACTGTAAACACGAAAAAAATACTATTGGAATATACTTTGATTTGCTTGCTTTCTGATTATATTATTCATAAATTTCTTTCTTTATATACTCTTTTCCAATTATCAGTAACCCGTGCTCTTCTTTATTCAAGCTTTGACCTGAAATTTAATTTTTGGTTAAACATTCATAAATTTATAGGTCCAAAAATCTCACTTTTATTTTGTCAAGTGAATTTATTCTTTTGTTTTTGTTCATACAAAGTCTTAGGTTTCAAATAACTTTTGGTTTCAGATAAAATTTAACAATATTATTAGTTATTATTTTTAATGTTCAAGTATAGAAAAAGATTATTTCCTAAATTCAATAAAATATTACACGACCGCGCAAAGCACAGTTAAACTTACTACTAGTTCCTATCTAATGAGGGAGCCTGCTAGATCAAAGTGTCTTAGAAAGAAACACTAGACTTGACATTTAAGCCATAGCCAAACCTTTATACACTTTTGACCTGCTTCGAGCTTTGACAGTCAATGAGACAATGACTTTTTGTGCTTCGGGATCTTGATACTTATTCTAGAAGGAGTCAATATATTCTCAGAATATATTAATTTTTCATGATAATTATAAAAATATCATGGCATACTTAAAATCAAAGTACAACTTCTAAATGCACTTTAATATATGTTAACATTCTTATTTTTCATAAACATATAGTTTATGAAAAATATCGTTAATGAGTCAAATCAAACATTGAATGCCTATTTCGGCTTGACTATCAATTAAGGAATATTGAGGTGACAACTAGATGTAAAACCTAATGAGTCAGCTCTTTCTGCTGCCTTTAGGGTGGGAATTCATGTCCAGTATAATATTAGAAGGATGAAAATATTCTAGCTGTATACTTGAGGGATTATCTTAATCTGTTATGTTCGTATGACTAAAAGAATAAGAAAATGGGCGTCTAGTCATTTTTTAACGACCGCAATCAGTAAATTCCATAAGCATCTTGCTGATGTATTTTCTCCATTATGAATGCCAAAGCCAGACAACACAAATAAAGGAATTCCTCTATCAAACAAAGCAAGAGAGTTGACATTCAATATACAAACAACTAAACAAACCTCTATGCACCTTTGAAGGAGTCAAGGAACTATTTTTGAGCTGGGATTTGAATCCTGGTCTCTCCAGCTTTTCATCTCACTTAATTGATCAAATCACTGGGTCATTTATACAGCCGCAATCATTAATTCCAATAGCATCTTGAATGTCAAAGATAGAATAAATAATTGAAGGAATTCCTATCAAATGGGGATCAAACTGTCAGTCAGAAAGAAAACAATAGAGTTGACATTTAAGATATAGACAAACCTCTGTGGACCTTTGACTGCAAATTGTAAGCTGCTTCAAGATGTGACAATCAATGACGTTGTACTCATTAATTGTTCTAGAAGGAGTCATGGAGATGTGCTGAGACTCAGGGGTATAAATCTTGTTCCTGCCCAGTCTGAATTGCTTGTACATTCCCCTACCTTCAGTTGATGCAATATACTCTACAGAGGTAACAATGAATCTTATTACATTATTTGTTGATCTGAAGAAGATGTATCATTCTCTGTACTTTTAAGTAAAATATTCATTTTTTGCAAATGGGCTGCCTATTTCTTGTCCTGGTTTTTGTGTTACAATATCCAAATATTGTTCTTTCAAGTGTTTTATGCAGCCAAGACCAGAGCTTGGTTTTGCAGCAATTGAAGCTTAAACTGACCATAGATGAATCTTCTTCTTCTGATTGTCAATCCAATGGTCAGCTTCCTACCCAAAGACAATTTCCTGGAATAAAAGCGATGATTGCTGTACCTGGGATGGAGTAACATGTGATAGAATTACAGGTCAAATAACTGGCCTTGATCTTAGTTGCAGCCAACTTCATGGGACAATTGATTCCAACAGCACCCTCTTCCAACTTTCTCATCTGCGGAAGCTTAATTTAGCATACAATGATTTCTCCCCTTCCCAAATTTCAGGCAAATTTGGCTGGTTCCCAAGTTTGAGACATCTTAATATCTCGAATTCAGGCTTTTCAGGCAGAATCCCTTCAGAAGTATCATACCTATCTAAGTTGATTTCACTTGATCTTTCCGCAGGTCTTGAGGAGTTGAGATTTGGACCTCACACTTTCACATTGCTCCTTCAAAACTTAACCCAACTAAAAGAGCTTCACCTCACCTCTACATACATCTCTTCAGCACTGCCATCAAACTTCTCCTCTTCCTTAGAAGTACTGAATCTTCTCAGCACCGAATTGTCTGGGAAAGTCCCAGATCACATTTTTCATTTACGAAGATTACAAATCCTTAACCTAGGGAGCAACTGGTATCTCAAAGGGCATTTGCCAAAAATGCAATGGAACAGTAGCAGCTCCTTAAGGGAGTTAGACCTTTCTTTGTCAGGTTTTTCTGGTATTATACCAGATTCTATTGGTCATCTTAAATCTTTATGTTTTTTAGATCTCTCAAGCTGCTACTTCTCTGGAACCATTCCTCAATCTATTGAATCTCATACAACTCAATAATTTACGCCTTTTCTCGAACAACTTCAATGGTTCACTTCCATCAACAATCTCAAATCTAGTGCAACTTGTTGAATTTGTTATTTCATCTAACAACTTTAGTGGTGGCATTCCAAATATTTTCAGTAACTTCACCAAGCTCAAATCTTTATCCCTGTTAGATAACTTATTTACAGGGTTGTTTCCATCCTCAGTTACAAACCCGGCAAAGCTTGAAAGTTTAGAACTCTCTAACTGTTCAATTACCGGTCCTATTCCTCCTATCACCACCGGATTCCCCAACCTTATCTTGCTTTTCCTAGCAGATAACTCGCTTACTGGGGAAATACCATCTTGGATATTTGATCTTCCTTCCTTAAAATTGTTAGTAATGATATCCAATCAATTTACTGGCCAACTTAAGGAATTTAGATATAACTTGCTAGAAGTTCTTGACTTGGGTGAGAATATGCTGCATGGACCTATCCCAAGATCATTTTCTAAACTTGTAAACTTTACAACAATAGATATTTCTACAAATAACTTTTCCGGTGATCTAGATATTGGTATGTTTTCAAACTGCAAACAACTTAGACATCTTGGTCTTTCTTTTAACAATCTGTCGGTATTTTCCAGAAGATATGGCCTTGCCCAGTTCTATTGGAAGATTGTATGTATCTTCCTGCAATATAAGGGAATTAAATTTCTTACAAGCTGCAACGAGACTTGGTCTATTAGATCTTTCCAACAACAAGATCTATGGCAAAATTCCTGATTGGGCGTGGTCTGATTGGCAAAGCTCATTGTTTTATCTGAATCTTTCGAGCAATTTTCTAACTGCTATTGACCCACTTCATGACTTTGAAGGTCTTGTTTATCTCGATCTTGGATCGAACTTGATTCAAGGAGAATTACCCGCTCCACCTCCCCGCATGTTCTTCTTCATAGTCTCAAAAAATAACTTCACCGGGAAGTTACCTTCACCGTTATGCAGGATGAGTACCCTTGTGATTCTTGATTTGTCCAGTAACAGCTTGAGTGGAGTAATTCCAAAATGTTGGTAAACATGAGCAGAAGTCTCTCAGTGTTGGACCTGCATGATAATCAATTTCATGGGACAATTCCAATAAATTTTGGTAAGGCAAGTACTCTAAGAAGTCTCAATTTGCGGAAAAATAAACTAGAGGGAACATTGCCACGAACCCTGGCCAATTGCAGAACGCTGGAAGTACTCGATCTTGGAGAAAATTTTTTGAATGATACATTTCCCAAATGGTTGGGAACACTTCCTAGGCTACAGGTTCTAAGTTTGAGATCCAATAGTTACATGGCCCCGTAACCATTTCTATAAACCAAGTCTTGTTCTCTAAATTGAAAATCCTTGATCTCTCTTATAATGACTTCACTGGAAATTTAATATAAAGGTTTTTCAGGAATTTTAAAGCCATGACGATTGTAGATCCCAGGGGAACTCCCTTAACATATATTGGAGAAGCTCTATACCATGATTCCCTGACAATGGTTATAAAAGGGCAGCAGCTCCAACTTGTGAGGATTCTTTCTATTTTCACAACCATTGATTTCTCACATAACAAATTTGAAGGTGATATACCAAAATCCATTGGCAATCTTAGTTCACTTCGAGGGATGAATTTATCCCATAACAACCTTATTGGTCCAATTCCGCAGTCCTTTAAAATTTTATCTGTTCTTGAGTCATTAGACCCATCGTCGAACCAGCTCTCGGGGAACATTCCTCAAGAACTTGCAGCTCTACAATCTCTTGCTGTCATGAATCTCTCACTGAACAATCTAGTCGGACGCATACCTAGAGGTCCACAGCTTAATACATTTGAAAATGACTCCTATTCAGGAAATGCTGGATTATGTGGATTTCCTTTGTCAAGAAACTGTGGAGATACTGAGATGCCCCAGCAACCTCCTCCATTAGAGGCCGATGAAGAAGAATATTATCCAGGTTTGATGGATTGGAGAGCAGTGGCAATAGGATATGGTTGTGGAATGGTGTTTGGATTGTTTATGGGATATGTGATTTTCTTAACAGGGAGACCAAAATGGTTTGTGAGAATTGTCAATGAAGAAGGATACAGGATGGTTAAGAAAATTGAGGCAAAGAGAAGACGTCGTAAAAGAAGAGGATGAAGTGCCTTCTGGTATTTGTCACAGATTTCATGCATTGTTGCATTGCAGAATTGACAGTTTTTGCTTAATGCTTCTGATATTCTTATTGTGGCTTGTAAATTGAGTTATATAAATTGGATTTCTTTAGTATTATCTTTGTTTCTGTGCCGATACAAAGGCAAAGCAAATAATGAAAAGATAAGGAAAAGAATTCTTTCCTCGATTAAACGGCCAAAAACATCCTGAACTATGTTCCAGACCTAAACTGCATCCCCCTACTACAAGGTGAACAAAGAAAATCCGTCAACCATCCCAGAATTAACAGGCTACATCCTCCCGTTAGTATCTGTCGAAAGAACTAATGACTCTAACATACATCTCGTTCCGGCATTTTACCAAACAGGTGGTGTTCCAACTATATGGTGTCACAGCAATCAAACATGGATTTCCGAAGGAGGGTATTTCGATAGCTGAAGCAAGCAACCCGTTCAAGGTGTTAGCTCACTTATGCAGGCACAAATTTGGATGTGAGAAGATTACCTTCACTCAATTCCCAATTCGTTTTTGTTACAATTTTTATGGACTCTCTATAAATGTGCTTGCAGGTTATTCCCAATCATATAAAAAATATAGCTTTTTTTTTGTTTTTTTTATTATATTATATTTATTTTATGAGGCACAAAAATATTATTAAAATCGTATTCGCTTAATGCTTTTAACGTGAAAATATTGTTCTTGCTATATATTCTTTTATTATTCTTAGCCTTATGAAAAAATATATTATGACAAAAATAATTCGATATTAGGGATTGAAACAATGACCATATGTTGTATTTATTGTTATTGATTATAATTATAAAATATTACAATCGTTACGGAACGAAACTAAAAGAATATATTGTTGGATTTTGTAATTAATAACAAAAGAGGTGTGAATAGAAAATGGTGGGAAAAGAAATGGAGGGAAGTGAAATTTTGAATGAGTTCACATTACTAATGCACTTTGTCCCTCATTGGTAGAAGGAAAGAAAATCTTTGTGTATATATAGAGAAACTCATCTTTTAGCTCTTAAAGACTTAAGAAGAAGGAAAGCCTCGCGCCGTGGTCGTCGTCGCTCGGCTTCGGACAAAATTCTTTTCAAATATTTAATTAATTAATTAAATTAATTAACGAAAATTCAATCCGGAATAACCCATGACCAGCGACTCGGTCCGATCCGGTCTTGAACCCCAATTATATTTGTTTAATACTCAGCTTCATCAACTGCAAACAACCTCAACTGAGAGTTTCTTCATAAATGGGCTATAAATATTCCTTTGAATCCCAGAATATCTACTTACGAAATTTTCTGATCTTCTTCTTCTTCTGCACATAAAAATTCCAGTGTGTTTTACAGCCTTCGAGTGGTTTGCTGTTCATCGGCGTTTTTGGTACCAACACTCCGGTGAGCTAAATCGTTCTATCCTGGAAAGATATATTCCAGAACCTCGGGAACTTGAGGGGAATAATTTCCTTAAGGACACACTGTGTATTCAGTGGGCTCGATTTATTCCTATACTATTTCCAGAATTTATTTTGAAGTTCCTATACTGTTTTCAGAATTTATTTTGACATTCTAGTTCTACTAACTTTCTGTTTCTGTTTTTCAGAAAGTTTATTGTTTTATTAATTTTACAGCAATAGAGTTTTGATAATAATCTTAAGGAAACTAATTTATTATATTTTGTATTCTGTTTGTGGAGATTAAAACCTGTGTGGTTTTCTGCTCCGTCTGAATTTTACTATTCTGATTTGAAGATATAAAAACTTCACTAGAGTATTGAAATTCAGAAAACGATTTGAAGAACATAAAAACTTCATCGTTTTCTGTGAAACAGTATATAAAAATTTAAGTTTTTTACGTAGTGTTTATTGATTATAGTATTGTTTACTATTCTGGTTTTGCCATTAATTGAACTCTTCAGTTGTTGACAGTGAGAAATGGCAATTGATAACGGGAATCCTTCTGCGACTTTTGCTGCAACGATGATAGCCTCGTCAAGCCACACTGCAATTCCTCCGGCCGAGAAACCGGAGAAATTTTCTGGAGCCAACTTCAAAGGATGGCAGCAAAGGGTGTTCTTCTGGCTTACCACGTTTGGTATGTAGAAATTCACTAGTGAAGAGCCTCTAGTGCCTACTGCGGACATGCCGGACAATGAGAAGTTCATGATTGTTGAGGCGTGGAAGCAGGTAGATTTTCTTTGCAAAGGCTATATCTTAAGTGCTTTAGAGGATGACTTGTACAATGTGTACAGTGCGATAAATACTTAGAAAGAATTATGGGACGCACTTGAGAAGAAGTACAAGACGGAAGATGCATGCCTGAAGAAGTTCATGGTTGCCAAGTTTCTAGACTATAAAATGATAGATAGCAAAACTGTGGGAACCCAAGTTCAGGAGCTTCAACTTATTTTTCACGACCTTATTGCATAAGTTATGGTCGTGAATGAAGCATTTCAAGTGGCTGCAATGATTGAAAAATTGCCTCCTTCGCGGAGAGATTTCAAGAACTATCTTAAGCACAAGCGCAAAGAAATAAAGTTGGAAGATCTTGTGATACATCTAAAGATTGAGGAAGACAACAAAACAGCTGAGAAGAAGTCTCGTGAAAATTCAACGATCATGGGAGTTAATGTCGTTGAGGAGACTGCTCCAAAGAGTAAGAAGAGGAAGAGGTCTTCTGGACAGACTAAGGAGCAGAACAAAAAGAAATTCAAGGGAAACTGCTACAATTGTGGAAGAGTTGGTCACAAAAGCCCTAATTGTCGTCTCCCGAAAAAGGATAAGAAGAAGGGACAAGCCAACATAGTGGAGAAGATGATGACATTGATGATCTTTGTGCAATGCTTTCGGAATGCAACCTAGTTGGAAATCCGAAGGAGTGGTGGATTGACTCTGGAGCCACTCGACATGTGTTGTCAAAGAAGCATTTACGACTTACTCTACTGCTGGTCCCGAAGAAGAGATTTCCATGGGAAATAATGCAACAACCAAGATTGAAGGTTATGGAAAGATATTCCTGAAGATGACTTCCGGCAAGGTGTTAACGCTCAACAACGTTCTTCATGTTCCTACTATTAGGAAGAATTTAGTTTCTACTTGTTTACTTGTGAAGAATCGGACCAAAAGCAGTAGATTGTGTTTTCATTCAAAATGCTACAAGCAGTAAAACATATCGGTTTTTGGTTCATAAATCCGATAATCCCGAGATTCATGTTAATACGGTAATGGAATAAGATAATGCTGAATTCATTGAAAGCATCTATCTGTGTAAAATTGAATGTGAGTCGTTAAGTGAAAGACCTAAACGACCTCGGGAAGAACCAAAGGAAAATACTCCAAGTATAGAAGATCCAATGTGTAGCAAACGTCAAAGAACATCTACTTCCTTTGGACCAGATTTTGTGACATTCTTGCTTGAAAATGAGCCTCAAACTTTTAAAGCAGCTATGTCGTCTTCTGATTCAGCGTTTTGGAAAGAGGCAGTCAATACTGAGATTCAATCAATTTTCGATAACCATACATGGGAATTGGTTGATCTTCCTCCGGGAAATAAGCCGTTAGGTTCGAAATGGATCTTTAAATGGAAAATTAAAGCTGATGGCACTATTGACAAATATAAGACAAGACTTGTTGTCAAAGGTTATATACAAAAGGAAGGCCTTGATTACTTTGACACTTACTCGCCAGTAACAAGGATAACATCTATTAGGATGTTAGTGGCACTAGCGGCCGTTTATGGTCTTGAAATCCATCAAATGGATGTTAAAACAGCTTTCTTAAATGGAGAATTGGAGGAAGAGATTTACATGGAACAACCTAAGGGTTTTGTGGTTCCTGGTAAAGAAAAGAAAGTGTGCAAACTTGTTAAGTCGCTTTATGGACTTAAACAAGCACCCAAACAATGACATGCAAAATTTGACCAAACAATGTTGGCAAGTGGATTTAAAAATCAACGAGTGTGACAAATGTGTTTACATTAAAAACACTCCAGGTCATGAAGTCATTGTTTATATGTTGACGACATGTTGATAATGAGCAAAAGTATGGCAGACATAATGCTACAAAGCGCATGTTGGCTAGCAATTCGACATGAAAGACTTAGGAGTTGCTGATGTGATCTTACGAATCAGAATTCACAAGACTCCATAAGGTCTAGCATTATCACAGTCTCACTACATTGAAAAGGTACTTGACGAGTTCAAGTATTTGAATTTCAAAATTGCCAAGACTCCAATTGACGTAAGTTATGCACTTCAAAAGAATGAAGGTGAAGGTGACTCACAACTGGACTATGCAAGAGTATTGGGGAAGTTTGATGTATATCATGAATTGTACGCGACCAGATATAGCATGTGCTATTAGCAAACTGAGTTGGTTTACAAGTAATCCCAATCAAATACATTGGATGGCAATGAAACGAGTTTTGGGGTATCTGAAACATACCAAAAATTATGCTTTAAATTTGCATTATAACAAATATCCCTCCATGATCGAGGGATATAGTGATACAAATTGGATCACCGGATCATCTGAAGTTAAATCCACGAGTGGATATGTTTTCACAATTAGGGGTGGAGCAGTGTCTTGAAAATCATCCAAACAAATGTGCATCGCGTGTTCTACAATGGAATCTGAATTCATAGGTTTAGATAAGGCCGGTGCAGAAGCTGAATGGCTCCGGAATTTCTTGGAAGATGTTCCATTTTGGCCCAAACCTTTGGCACCTATTTGTATACATTGTGATAGTCAAGCGGCAATAGGTAGGGAAGGGAACGTTATGCATAACAAAAAATCTCGTCATATACAACAGAGACACAATACCATTAGACAACTACTCTCTAGTGGTGTTATCACAATTGACTACGTAAGTCAAGAGATAACGTGTCAGATCCACTTATAAAAGGCCTATCTAGAGAGGCAGTTGAAAGATCATCAAAGGGAATGGGGTTAAGGCCTAGGACAAGTCATCATGGCA